CGGGCAACGCCCGGCCGCCAACAGCACCGGGGCCGACGTTTCCCACTGCATGCGCAGTCGCATCGCACCGGCACGGCAGGATCGGCCGTACGGCCGCTCGCAAGCGTCACAGCCCAACTCGCGCCCGCTCAGGTGTAACCCGTTTCTGAGTTACTTTGGTAATTTGGGCAAGACGCAGCAGCGTGCTGTGGCCGCCGAGGCGTCGTGTTCGTCCCGTGAGCCTGGCGGCATTGGTAAACTGCTGGAACTGAGGTGCATGTCGTCAGTGCAGAATACTGAGTGTCCGTCATGCCAGGACCGGAGGCTTGTCTTCTCCGCTCGCAACGTGGCGGACGGCGCTCTCGTTCGCGGCATCACATTCATGAGCGTCGCGTCGCTGCACGAGCCCGCTCCCATGTCGCCATACTTGCAGTCGATCATGTCCGAGCAAATGGACTGTCCAACGGACGAAGTGAGCGATGCTGATGCGCTGCCCAATGTATCCGCCGCGAGGTCGAAAATGGCCGACGCACCCATAACTCACAAGAATGTCGGTGCTTGGCTGCTGCCGGGCGAACAGCTTTATATGAGCGTGGTGGTGCCGATGCATGGCCGAGGAGGATGCAATGTGTCGCAGCCTGGCACAGGTGCACTGGACTTTCTTGACCGGTTGTCAGTGCAGTGCGAGTACCGGAGCGAGAACGACCGCACACTGAGAACAGCATGCTTCTCCGTGCCGTATTTGCTTCGCCCTGCCCACGAGAAAGCCTGACTCCCCTCTCACTCTCGGGTGACCGTTCCCGGGACCACAACCACAGGTGAACGTTACTGGCACCACAACTACAGGCAAGCAAGGTTATAAGGGCTTTGCTTCGCAGTGCCGGCAAGAAAGCCGAACTCCCCTCTCAGGTGAACACTCCTGAGACCACAACTACAGACACGCCAGGTTAAAAAAGGGGCTTTGCTTCACTGTGTGGACAGTCTGACTCCCCTCTCAGCTGAACGTTCCTGTGACCACAACCACAGGCAGCCAAGGTGAATAGGTACTAGTAGGGGCTTTGCTTGGCTGTGCCAGCGAAAAAGCCTAACTCCCCTCTCAGGTGAACGTTCCTGGGACCACAGGCAAGCAAGGTTATACAAAGTAGGTGCTTTGCTTCGCAGTGCCGAAAAAGCCTAACTCCCCTCTCAGGTGAACGTTCCTGGCACCTCAGACTTACAAGGCTACAACTTTTAGGGGCTACTGTAGTTGTTTGGACCAAATACAAGTATAAACACATCAGGGATTTCAGCTGGCTGGAAGGTTTTATTTTTTCGTCCCATCATATCCAAATGACCCATCTCTTTCTTTATTAATTTATTCCTGCTGCACTGCTTGTAAGGTAGCGACGGCAGGACATGTTCTCATTGTGCCCTTCTTCTTTTCATTTTATTTATTTGAATAACGTTACTGCGTGTCCGTGAGTCTGGCACGCCCCGTAGCAGCCATTTTGATGTTGCTGCTTTTAGATTTGCTCTTCTTGCGATGACTGGTTCTGTGGATCCATGTAGCACTCTGTCCAACCTTGCCATCACGGTGTAGTACAAGACGTTGCCCGCCACCATTCCACAGCAGGACACCCACATTATTGTGTTTACAAAGGCAATCATCTCACATACACAGCTCAAAGCAGTGCGGTTGGACGGCCTGATGTAGTTTCGCCACCGCAGCATCATAGCACGTCAGCAGATGAGGCTGGCGTCGGGTCTGTGCTGCAGCTGCTGCTGCTGCTCCCGTTGTACGGTGGCATGTGATGGCCAGGGTATATACTATATGCCGACTTGCACGAGTACTGGGTCGCTCAGCTTGTGCTAACTGCCGGGATACTGTGCTGCCTGGTGCCGAAGAAATCTCTACAGTAGTTGAGGCCCACAAGCTGGCTATTGAACCATCCAGCGGGCAACAGCGGCCCCGGCCCTGCATGCATGATCGCCATTAGACTCGTGGTGGACTTGGAAGCGAACCCCTGTGTATGCTCACTATGCACACCGCAGCACATGGGTGAACTAGCCTTATAAGGAGTTCAAGGCGCGGAAAAGGGATTGGCGGCATTGAGGTGTCCGTCCCCGGAATCCAATTGCATTTACTCCTGTCACCAGTGAGCGGAGTGTGAGCAGCTGCAAGTACTGAAGTAGGCAAATCAGAGTGGACCTGCTATAGCCTATAGGTTTGATTGGCAACATGGATTACACATGCAAGACTTATACAGGGGTGTCGGAAGGTATTCAACATTGGTGCGGCCGCATGACTAGGTGGGGTCCCCCTCCCCCCGGGAAAGGTTTTAGGGAAAATGGGCCCAAATAGCCTACATGTTCATTGCTTCAAAAGTCACAAGATGAAATTATTGGTGCAGCTTTGGCTGGACCTGCCGCGCGCCCCTGTTATAGCCAGAAGTAGCCCAGTGGTATTGGTCAACAGGGTACCTCAAATAGAGAGTGTATGGACCTTGCATGTAACCAACCGAAGTGGCAGGTGCAACGATGCACCTTCAAGTGTACCCCGCGCGCCCGTTATAGCCAGAAGTAGCCCAGTGGTATTGGTCAACAGGGTACCTCAAATAGAGAGTGTATGGACCTTGCATGTAACCAACCGAAGTGGCAGGTGCAACGATGCACCTTCAAGTGTACCCACCAACAGAGCTAGCTGGCACTCACAAACTCACAACACCCCTCACACCCACACCTTGAATACACGACCACGTGCGCAGCGGAATTCCTTCACCATCCGCTGAGGACTCGGACGACACACACACACACACACACATGCACGCCACCACCACGTGTACCAACTTCAATCACATCAAAATCGAACGGAGAAGGAGGTGTAGGAGTTGAGTATTACCCAGGATACGGCTGACATTATGTACAACAGATGAAACATGAATTGGAAAAAGACGTCCAAACGTACAGAAATAACAATTTACCTGCGTCAGGCGAAACTGGAGCAGCACTTTACCTATTTCATTAGCGTTAAAAAAATTCGAGATAAGCATCAGCGAAGAAACAGCTTAACATTTGCCACAGAAAGCGCTAGCTTGCTTCGCTGCAAGCAGCAGCAGCGTGAGTGTGAGAGAGAGGGAGAGAGAGAGAGACAGAGAGAAAGAGAAAGAGAGAGAGAGAGTGTGTGTGTGTGTCCGTCTACTAAATAAAATGTGCTGGAAATCAAGATTTGCGGTGCGGCCTGGCCTGGGGGGTTGCCTCTGCCCAGCGGAAACGACACGGCTCGCAAGCGGTAGCACACGACGGCGACGCTCACTCCAGCTCAGCGATTGCTACAAAAATGGGATTCGAACTACCCAACTGGAGCGTCCGGTGAGCTAAGTTATGACACTGCGGCTCTACATATGTACGTCACAGCAGTATCGAGACGCTGTGCAAGGCAGCTACTGCCACTGCCGCTGCTGATTCTCCCAGGATAGAAAACGTGAATAGCGCTGAGCTGAAAAGACCTGCCCGGCCCTAGCCCTTGATCTTCTCTCCCTTGGTGATCTGAACACATCAGGACAAAACCAGAAGACAAAGCACAAGACCGGTTAGGACAGCGGACGAGAAGCCAAGATAAGTAGTCACCGATATCCACTTTAAGGGCTTAGTGTGTTTTTAGGATTCAGAGGGCGTTGCCGTGCGTGGAACAATAGGCAATAGAGCAATACCTCCAGGACGACGTTTTAGTTAGTTAGTCTTCGGCTGGGAGAGAACGGTGTGTGATTTGTGCTTGTGTATGCGATGTGTGTGTGTGTGCGTGCGCGCGTGTGTGCATTGGCTCAGTCACATTGGTCGCATGAGCAGTGAGTGCCTACATGTACGCATGCGTGTTCTACTCGGAGAGCCTGCGGCTAAGCACCAATGCGGCACCGGACACACAAGCGTTGGGGTGATGTAGTTGTGGAGAGCTTCGAACTTGTGGAAAGACCTGCTGTTGCTCTCGCAATCTCTCGTGGCATGAGCCATTCTGTCGGCTGCGACTGGAGCAGCTCCTTTGCTATCGGGCATGTTCGTGTGCGTGCATGCGTTTGTGTGTGTATGTATGTGTGCGCACGTGTGCGTGCGTGTGTTCGTGTGTGCATGTGTTGCTGACATGGTGATTCGTCGACGTCTGCAATGTCAAGATCGCCTCGTCAGGATGGACTCAGATGATTGCATGCTTCCCTGCTGTTGCTTACATTCGACTCGCGGACAGGGTCAATGTTTTACTACAAGGGTTTTACAGAAGAGAGCTCTAGGAAAGGAGAATCAGCTCATGCATCGACGCATGGACAGCGCTGCCCCTGGACAAACACTCCACACTTATACTTACACGAGCTTCAATGTAGTCCACTCTTCTCTCCAGCGTGGTGACCTTTTCGTTCAGCGTGGCGAGGCGCGATCGGGCTGACATATCTGCGTGCCGACAGCAGAAATCGAGAGATACGTCACGTCAAAGCCTCTTGCTCTACTGATCAACAAATTGCAGCTGCCTACTCACCGAAATTGTTGAGAAACTCAGCCATCTTCTTGATGCTGAATGTGATGACTTCCACGAACTCTCGATCCTCCCAATCCTGCTGGAAATGCCTCTTGCTGGACGACATAATTATTGATATTTCGACCCTATGCGATCGTCCACGACTACAGGGAGCTACTAACTGCCAAAATGCTGGATGATCTTGAACAATTAATTGTCTTCCAAAATAATTCCAACTCGAAAGAACTCTCGTTGAAATGAAAATGATCCAGCTTCAGCAAGCAACACATTTACACAAACACAAAACTGTACGTGCGTCATACGCACGCATGCCGTACCCGTCCGCGTAGTCCGCGTACACCACCTGGTACACAAGCATGCATTTTTCAATGAAGAATCGCAAGACCCATCGATAGAGTAGAAGTGTTGCCTGGGCGACAAAGTAACGCTGAACCCGCGGGCCGCGACCCAACACGCGCGTGTAGTACGAGTTCGATGGACACTTTTTTGAAAGGCGACAGCGTTTGACACTCAAAATAGTGCTAGGCCCTAGGCTACGAAAATAGAGAGATCACAAGTCGGCGCATCTCAGTGTTCATGTCCAGGCGGCGAAATGAAACAGTGTACCAATGGCCAAAGCACAATGTACACAGCACTTGAGTTTTGAGTTCTTGTTGATAAACCATTGATTCACAGCTGAAACAGTCGTAGCCACTTGTGTATATGCCACCCGGTTCAGTATTAGTCCAGTGCTGTATTTGCTCAGGACTCGAGCGGTGAAGGAAGACAGTTCGAAACACCAAGCTTAGCTGCTAGCTGTCGTCGAGAGTTGAAAGAAAACAGGATGTCCTCGTCGGACCCAGGTTGGTCTAGAAATCATGATTACAATACACTGTATAATAATATTGGGATACTTCCGACTGCACTATCATGCACAATCATGTAATTAACTATTAATATTACATTATTATGTGTCATGTACATACGGACATGTATACAGTGAAACCTGGTTTAATAGGAAGAACACTGATAAGACAAATGTTTGCTTTAAAAGAAGAACTAGTATTCGTAACTCCATTGGAGAAATCACTGTGTATTCACTGGGTAAAACATACGGATAAGAAGAACTCCCGTTATTGCGAACAAATATCATCGGTCCCTTGGTGTTTACATGTATCCTAAAGAGGTTTGAAATTGACTGTATATTGATCTGCATAGTCTGAACAGTGTCCGCTCTAAGATTTTTAAACCAACCGGGTACGCAAGAGTCAAGCTCCGGGTACACACTACTTGGTACAATTCTTGCAACCGGGTCAGAGCCGGGTGCGTTCATGTGCGGCTACTGTACATCAGGGAGTCGTAATTATCTTACGGCTCCCTGATTGAGTCCGAACTGGGTCACAAGTGACCCGGTGTTCTTTTTCCAAACGGGTCCAAGTTCCCCCAAAATCCGGGTCACTCACCCGGCTCTAGCCTAGGAGCAGACACTGGGTCACGAGATCCATTCACCCTATTCACACGGGGTGATGTGAATAGCGCGAATATATTCATGAATCGATTCGCGGGCATAATCAAACGCACTCAATGGTTAGAGCATCGCTGGCCTCGAGCGAACGTCTCTGGGTTGAGTCCTGGTGGTGACAGTCAACTAATAATGAGTGCCTTTCTCGACCAGTATGATTCATGACTTTCCTTATTCTTATCATGGGCCCAGGTACAAGAATTTGGTGGAACGTAATTGATTTTTGATTCGCAGTGAAGAGACCGTTATTGGAATGTTGGCGTTTTTTGTTTTTTTTTTGAACTTTGTTTTACTTCGCAAAATCCAAACGGGAATTTCTTCCCAATGACAAGGTAGCGAAGATCTTAAGAGGGAAGAAAAAAGAAAGAGAGAGAGAGAGAGAGAGAGAGAGAGAGAGAGAGAGAGAGAGAGGGAGAGAGAAAAAAAGGAAAGAAAAAAATGTGTATGCACTGGAAATGATAGTCAGCTGGAAATCGGATCCATTGTCAAACATTGCATTTGCTACTGTTGCATGTAGTCAACGAGCAATTGCGTAGGGTACTGCTGCAGCGTGAGGTCGAAATATCAACTCCAGCGTGATGAGTTCCGTCCATCTATTCAATGATCCATACATTTTTTCTGTGTGTGTGTGTGTGTGTGTGTGTGTGTGTGTGTGTGTGTGTGTCTTTTTCTGTCTCTCTCTCTGTCCCCCCCCCCCCCCCGTTTCCTTCTCTTTCTCTCCGTTCTCCCTGTCCGTGTGTGTGCATGTGTTGTACACGTATGATTCCCTATCCTATGAATTGCCGGTCGTTCACAGAGAGCAGTGATGAACTAGAGTCTAGTAGTATTGCTGACAGTGACTCTGGTTCGCACAAGGAGGACGTTCGAGCCACGCCAAACAGCGACGACAATGAATCAAATCGCAGCAGCAGCAGCGACACCGATGATGACGTCAGCGGTAGCGATGACCGTGACAACGCCAGTAGCCATGACGACAGCCGTGGGGGTAGTAGTAGTAGTAGTAGCAGTGGTCACACATCCCGACGTGTTGCCGGGAAGGCTAGACTCCGGAAAGGAGGTACTGACAGGAATTTTGCCGGTGATCTTACAGAGGTGAGAATGTAGCAAGCCCGAGATTCGCCCAAACAGCTCTACTCACACATGCATTCTACAATCCTGCTCAAGGAAATCCAGTTGCGTCACTCACGTTTGCGCCTTGCACCATTTTCTCAACGCAAAAAAAAATCAGTTGCCAGCGGTAACGGGGGGGGCGTGCGAACGTTACTAATCTTTCCCTGTGCACTGCAGTGCACATTGCACGCACTCGTAGAAAGTGCGACAATGTCATGTCGATTGTGGCTCGCTTGATCGGATTGCATTGAACAGCAATGCAGTACCAGAAGTAGTGACCAGTGAACTCTGTAGATATCATATTTTCCAGAGAATACTGTAAGGGGCCATCCGTATCGATCTTTATCGATCTTTTTCACGAAGAGAAAAGTCTCGTTCATGGGTGGGTGCGTTGAGAAGTAGTCGAATG